GCACTAGCTTAAGGTGTTGTTTCTTGAAAATTGCCTGAAAATGTGTGGAAATTATAATTTACAAAAGGGATTTTAAATTTAAAAAATGATATCTTAACTTTTTTGGGAACTAACTTGGATCTAAGACTAAGATTGTTATTTAATTTAGAAAATTTCCATCTAAAACCTTTTCCATTACCGTTTTTCAAGGGTATCCCTGTATTCGATCCCTTAGCTATTTCCTTACAGCTGAATCTCCCTCTTCCAGCACATCCTCAATATCCTCCATAGGGCTTGGCCTGCCCTTTGATGTTGCTCCTCCTCGTGTTCGCTTTTGGTTCGCCTCGCATAACTTTGCTTGTTAACAATTGCATTGTACAACAACAGCAGCGGCAGCAACAGCAGCATCGGCAAACATCGGCGATCCCAAACGATCCGATCCCCGGCAATCCAGCAATCCTCTCAATCTGAACGTAGCTCTTCTGGTCTTTGCCATTTTTAGGTATCAACGTCGGCACCCCAGACCAAAAACCGAAAAAAAAAAAAAAAACAGAGACCAGATACCAAAAGACCGGCGACCCCGGGACACAATGGACACTCTTTTTCGAAAATAGGTGGCTTGATTTATTTGTCTGCAAATTCGCTTTCTCAAAAGGCATTTTTGGTTGGTTAAGATGGGAAGAGGGTAAGAGGGTAAGAGCCTGACCCAACTACTTATGGCCACTTCCGAGAGGGGTTCTTTGAATATGACTAAGCTGCCGCATTCATCAAACAATATTCTCCAGTTTGGTAGTTTCTGATTATTCTGATTGGACGAGTGGCGGAGATTTCCATCGAAGCGGTGAACTCAAACACTTGGCTGAAAGCCAAACCCATTAGCTGAGGGTTCCCAGAGACAAATGCCTGGTGAACATGTCGAAGGAGACTAACCTTGGAACTAGAACTCAGGTGACTTTTCTGTAGTTGATATTGACAGGGTATAGAATGTATTGAAGGCAGTTAAAGAAAATTCAAGGTCTTGGTGAAATAAGTTTAAATAAATGAAAAAGACTTAAGTTTACAAACCCCTAAAATCTCTATCCGATGCTCTATTTTTCTCTGTGCAGGCCAGAAGTCTTCTAAATCTCAGCTCCACTTTGCCTGCCAAATGTCGCGCAACGAGAACACAACAACAAAAAGCAAATCCCTAGCAGAACCAAAGGCCCCGAGAGCAAGTGTTCAAATTCCATTAAAAGAACATTTACAAATTTGGCAAAGATCAGCGGGCAAAAGAGTCCAAGACATGGCCCGGAGGTGCATCCGCACATCGAGTGCTAAAACTAAACCAAAAAAAAAAATCGAATCCATTCTAAACTGGCGCGACACCTTCGTCTTCTACGAGAACATCTTGTAGTTCTTTTTGACTTTGGGTTTGGAATGAGAGGGGGGGAGGCTATTTGGGATCGAAAGACCTTGAGCACCCCGAGCTTTTGGCTCTAAAAATAATGCAAGACAAACAACAGCAAACAAGCGAATGCAACAATGCAAGAGGAGAACTTTTGTCTCCAACAGCGTTTTCCCTAACAACCCGAGGTGATAAATAAAATTCTTTATATGCAATCTTTTAATGCAATTTACAATAAAATCAACATGGAGTTTAGTTGCTGGCTGGCAGGCTTGCTGGCTGGCTGGCTGGATAGGCAGCTTCTTCCTTTTGGGCCCTAGCTGGCTAAATAACAAGGGGGCACAGCTTGATTTGACATTAGCACAATCCCACAGATCACCTTCCCAAAATGGATTTCGCCGCCGTCGTTTGTCGTATCGTCGGTGTCTCTTCCCTCGAATGGTCTGAACTTTTGCGCAGCCGCAGCCGCAGTTGCAGTTTCAGTTGCAGTTGCAGAAACGGAAATGGTGGCCCAGCGAACGCGATGATCACTGCGACCGGGCAATAAATACAGCATAGAAATGATGTACGGAAAACGATCGCAGCTAAAGCAGCAACAGCTCTAAACCCAGCTCTTGGCCAAATCGAGAATAGCCATCCCAGACATCCCAGCCAGCATCTCAACGGGGGTGCCTGGTTGACTGGCTGAGTGCCTGGGCGATGGCAATGTTGAGGCCTAGCAAAATTGGCACAGTGGTACCATCACAATGCCTAATGGATAGGCCCTTCATTCAAATCGATGCCTCAATGGCCAATTAGTTACGAATAAAATGGCACAGCCACTGGAAATGTCAAGTATTCTGTTGCAGGCGTGGGTCTTAATGGCTATTTATTAATTTTTTAATATTGCAATTACTAGAAATATTCATCACTAATCAATGAACACTTTTAAATTGCTGGTTAAAAGGTTTTAATTAATTAGATAGAAGGGTTTCCTTAGACAGCTCTTACCACTTACTTCGAAGAGTTCTCAGATTCATAGGTAAAAGTGAGTAAGAAACTTGCAATAGTTTCTTCAAATTGCAAAACTTTCTTCCATTTTTATAAGATTTTATATTTGAAACTTTAACTATGTTATAGAAAAACTTGTTACTACATAATTATTCTAGTTTTTAGCCACCTCATCACCCACTGTTCCTGCCCAGGGTCTGGCAGCTGCCTAGATGCGGATGCTTGGGGCATCTCCTTCTGCCTCTATCCGCCTGCCCTCTTGCCACCTTTCTTCTACCAACCGATCCCGATTCCGATCCCGCTCCTGCCGCTCGTTTGAGCTACCACTTTGCGTCTGGAACTGCTGCCACTGCCGCTGCGGCAGATTCCGCTGCTCCTGCTCGTAGAGCTGGCGCGGCATTATTAATGATAAATGTGGCTTGCACTCATGATAAATACAGAGAATCGTTGAAAGGTATAAATCAATAATAGAGAAGTTTGTTTGCAGTTAGGCAGGCGCAGGATGGAGCCGTGATTTTCAGCCAGCAGACAATGAGTTTGCCCGGGCATAATTCACCCGGGAGCAAAAGGTCTTCGTGTGGAAGCTGGCCGAGGGATCTGATTAGCGGATCGGCCCAGGAGGAGACCGCAACTGCAATTGGATGTGGCTTTAGTTATGGTTGTCCTGTCCCTAAGATGCTCGGGCTGCTGCTCTACAAAATCATGTTCATTAATTGACTAATTAATCGATGGCTGTGCGGCAAGAAAACTAAGACATAAAAGCCAATTCGATTATCAATAACAATTAGCCGACGCCTCTCCGCTGCTGGTCTGTCAAATATAATGTTGGCCCTGTCCTCTGCCATTTTAGCCCTCCTCTTTCAACTTGGCTAGTAGTTGCATTTGAATGCACGAGTTACGCATCCATCAAATGTCAATTGTTTGTCTTTGGCTTGGCGCTCCGTCTTCGGAGACGGAGTTGGGCGATGGAAGATGGAGACTCGTCGCATTTCTCATAAATCATTCGAAAGGCTCTCTGGCGGGCAATGTATCGCGGCATCGCGTCATCCCAGAAACCCTGACTCGGCGACGACATCTTCTGGCTGTCAAAGGAGTCTTGGAGAAGCCTAAGGAGGTGGTGGAGGTGGGCCTGGCCCACTCGGATGCCCATCCAAGGCATCGAACTTGTCTAGCCGCCCGATGGCCCAGCTGAGTGTCGGCCCTGTCCATCTTGAATTAGTTGAGCAGTCGCAAGACATTAGGCGGAGCGAATGCCTGAAGAAGGCTAACTATATTAAGTTTGACTTTTAATGCAGATTTTCTAAGCATTTACTTTCCGAGGAATGAATCAAAGCCTGATTGAATTTGTTTTATTATCAGAGCTATGCTCAGAGATAACTGAAGGCGGTTTACACAGATTTGCTTTCGTGGAAAGCTTCAGTGTAAAAAGAAAATACTTTCTGCATCTCTTTCATTAAAATATCCAAGTCTTCATCTCCATAATTTCCCTTGGAAAAAAACACCTTATGATATTAAGTTTAATTACTGATAAAAGCAAGAACTAAGTGCTTTTTTCAACCGTTATCTGCCGTGATTCCCTCCTTGCCTTTGAAACACACTTTTTTATGCCGGTTAAGTTTTAAGTAGAGTCCGAACCTCGACCCGCCTTTAACTTTGACTGCACACGCATCGCCCCCCTTGCTGCTCCACCCTAGAACTTGCCACGGACACTCACCTGACGGAGCCAGCAAAACTTTTGCATAATAAAGCAGGTGCTTTTCCACCCCCAAAAGGGATCAGAACCAGACCTGTCTGACCTGGCCTCCTGAGTTACCCACCATCACCATCAGCACGACCCGTTAATGTGCTGGCGATTTTAGTTATGGCCAGTGGCCACCGCCAGTTGGGAGTTGACCAGCTGGCCAGTGTCCTTTGTCCCGTTGATAATTTAAAGCCAACGACCTGCTCTTGGCCAGGATTAAACCAACTGAATGGCAACTGTTTTCTGCTCAAATCACAGAGAAAATAAATTGAGGATTTTCTACTTACCAGACTGCAATTTCAAGCTTGCCAAGGCAGCTCAGGTTACAAATTTCAAACGGACGTTATATATTATTTGTTGATTGTTAGCCAGCATAAGCTGTGCGGTTACATAACGTATAAAAAAAAAACCTAAATTAACCTTTTGTTCTGTTTCAATGCAGTTTTTCCAAAATATTTGTAAAAATGATTAAGACTCTTCTAAGCTATCTAATAAAGTATTTTAAAAACTAAAGTTCTAGATTTTTAGAATACCCAAAAGACCTTGAATTTTCTCTCTGTGTTCTTGGCACACTCCATCCCATTTTAACTCATCCAATCTCCTCCCGCGATCCCGCTCTTTTGGCAATCTGAATATTCATTTCAATTGTGCGAACTGCATCGGCGGTAAAAGAAAAGCCTGCACCATTCCAACGGCAGCGGCTTATGGCACTTTCTTTGGGCTAAAAGAGTGCTTTCAACCGGTGGTGCATGGTGGATGGTGGATGGTGGTGGTGCTGCTCCTAGCTGCTGGTGGTGCCGCCCGGTGGGAGACGACGACCCACATAAATCATTCACAATTAGATGCGGACGCAACTGCGGCAGCGGCTTAAACACCTGACCGACTTGCTACCCAAAAATAAACTCCAAATCGAGTTGATTTTCCATTGAGTTTCACTCAAATAGCATGCTCAAGAGCCGAGTGCTGGTGGTGTGGGGACATTGAGTGGACCGATTCCATGGCGTTCCTCTCATGTTCCATCAGCCTCAACGGACCTGTTCCCAGTGCGTGCCGTTCAGTATGTACTTGAGACCGGTTCGAAACGTTGCCAGCCGAAAAGTCAGCGGGCCGCGGACGACGATTTCCCTCACGAAAAAACCATCAAAACTAGCAACTCGCAACATTGGCAACACAACAGCAACATAGGCAAAACAGCAGCACAACATTAGTTACATTATTCCAAGTTTTAATCCAGGGATATATCAAATGTTATATGATTTCATATAGTATATAGAAGCCACTCGCGTTTAGTGATAGTTTGTGCGGTGATCAATGTGCGATCGGCAATTCGAGTATCCCCAAGAATGCCGCGTTAATTGAGCTGTACGTACAGCTGTAGTACAAATTTGCATAACCAGTGAGGAGGCATAAACAAATCTGGCCGTAGAGCGTCTTGGTTCACTGATTTAATGCCACAAACAGATTGCAGATTGTAGCCCGCAGCCGCGCCCCTCCAACTAGCAACTTCTTCAGCTGCAACTTGTGCAGCAAGCACCACCACCTTCACCTCCACCTCGAACTCCTTGCTGTGCATCTCAGGTCTTGGTTTTGGTCTTGGTCAACCTGCTTGGAAGCTTGTTTCTGCGGAAGAGCTGCCGCCGGAGCGCCAGACCCGGCAAAAAATAAAAAAAGGAAAAAGAAAATATAAAAAAAAAAAACGTTAAGGAAAGAAAAAACACATAGAGAACAACACGGCTGCCGTTGTCGTCGTCTTTGGAATTTTCTTTAAAAACAACGCGCTAAGATTTACAACGCGGACCCAGGCAAAAAGTGTAAAAGGCAAGCAAATGCAGCCGCGGCATAAAAAAAATTAGCGCATAGTGAAGTGTGTCCCGGTGTGTGTGTGTTTGAGTGTGTGTATCTCAGGCAAGTGTGTGCGAATAACAACAACAACAACAACAACAAAAAAAGCTGCCCAACTAAGAGAAAAAGTTTGAAAAGTGTCAAGCGAGCGGCTCGGTGGCGGCCAATAACCCAAACGACTGGCATGCAATTGCGGCCAGGCGACCCCGACGGGTTAATTACCGTTATCCTTGCTAAACAACAACAACAACAGCAACAACAACCACTAAACGGTACTCAAGTTGTGGATTACGTCTACGCCGCGTTGTCGCCGTGTAAAAGGACAACAGCAACATCTGCAACACATCTGCAGCAACTGCAACATTGGCCATAAAAACCGCATTGAACACACGGCAAAGTCAAGTGAACATTCCAATTGGCAACGTAACGGGCTAATTGGCTCACATACACACACATTCCAATTCCAACAAATCAAAACGAGGTGAGTTTTAAGAGTTAAAAATCTTCACATTAATGCCTCGTTAACCCCATGAAATTGTTAGTTAGCTGAGTTAAAAGAAGTTTGATAACAGTTTTTGGTAGGAACATTTTTTACCTATTTATTAATAACACATTTTAGTCACATTTAGTCTAGAGAACTTGAATATAACTAAGACATTTGCAGGAAGTCTTATTGCTTGATTGCCTGATCATTAGTTTTCTAATAGGAAGAGTAGGCATCATCATATTTCCCAAAGTTTTTTGCTTCATTTATGCTCCTCAGCAATGGCCCTAAATCAATCTTTGGTTCCAAATTTTCCCTAATGAATAAATGGCCAATATTTTGTATAGGCCAACCAAATGCTGGAGGAGGACCTGCAATTTCCTGATCTCTGTCCTCCTCAAATCGATGTCTTGGTCGAAATTCTCTGGGTGGGTATACGTTGTCTTGGTTCCACATTCTTCGAGGTTGTCTTCCTATAGGTTTTTCCGTAACCGTTTGGACTTTCGAGTTAACAATATTCAGTTCACCATTTTTACTTTGCTTGCTCTCGCTTATGACCACAATGCCATTACCAAGACCCTTCAAGGGAGGACCTGGTTTATATGGGACATTGCCGATTCGGGTTTCTTGAAAGAATCCTGGTCCCGGTACTAGAGTACCACCCTCGGCATCCGTCATACCCGATGTCGAGGTGTTCACTTGTATTTGTCTACCATTAGCCTTGACGCTTGCAAAAAAGTAGAGCAATAGTGCCAGTGTCCAATCCATAGTCTGCGAAGACTCCTTGAATAAGAATACAGAATTCGCGATTTATCTTAACAAATACGACTGTGACTAACTACAAATGTAAAGCTTTGACATTTTCATTATTAAATCAGTTTGCTTCACATTTTTAACGAAATAAAGCGTGGCATTAGCTTATAAATTGTAGAACCCATAAGCCAGATAGTATATCTTTTGTTATATTAAAGTCTTAGTTCTTCCACTTTAAGTGTGATTCTTAAGCTTAACTCCAACTTATCCAAGGAGTAAGTCCATTGATTTTCCCTTTGATCTCCTTTTCGGAGCGACTTGAAAGCGGGCCAAGCTGTAGGCCAATTCCAGGGAAGTCCACTCCATCAGGCCAAGACCCATCGAGTTGCAGATACGTTTTGTGATGGGACCACTTGGACCTTCCACGGATGCAGACAGCTCGGCTTCGATTCTTGTATCTCTCAATTTCCATTAGACGGGTTTTGAGCGGGTTCTGTTTTTCTTTTAGAGTTTTTGAGTTCTGAAGTGAATTTATGTCGAGCCGCTAAACAATTGATGCTGAAAAATGATGGCAATGACAAAGTGATTACTGCTGCCCAGCAATGGAAAGCGAGGAGAGAGATGCCAGCAATCGAAGTTCAAGTTGAAAAATAACATTTTCAATTTCGAATTGTCGGTCGTCGTTAGCTGCCGCCAGAGTAGGAAAAGTGAAAATGAAATGCTTTGCCAGCAGACAAAAGCGTTTTATCATTAATCATTTAGTTTGTTGTTTTTCCAAAGCAACCGAAAATATACCTATTTATACGTACATAATCGTCTTGACTGGGGCACTTCTTCTTCGTTTTGGGGCACGTTCTTGATTTGAATCTTTCCCCTCTCATTTTTTAACCCACCCGCCCCTTGTCTTTGTTTCTTGTCTGTCTGAGTATTTGGCTTTTGGTAAATTGCTCATCGTCATGCTTTTATGATTTGGTATATTATTTTTTGAGAATTTGATGCGCTCAACTTGATAAGCCCAAAGCGCCCCCCGAACGTCCCTTTGTGCCCACCTGCATTCCTGACTTATTGTTGTGCCTGTGCGGTGGTGTACGTGAGTTTGTGTGTAGGTGTGTCCACAGCACCCAGCCTAAAAAACTCCAGAACTTTTTAACAATATCCAGAAAGCAGCTTTTTTCGATTTCTCATCCCCGGTAACAAAATTTTTAAAGTTTTAAAAACATGCAAGGTAGGAAGTTTATTTTGGTTTGTATTTTTATACTCTAACTTTGAGTTGTTTCTTTATTAGAACAAAATGAAATACCATCTTATCATCCTATGACCATTAAAAGAACAAATGATTAAGTAGTTCTGTTCTTATATCTACTGTCTTTGGAAGAAGATCTCATTTTATTTATGGCTTTCCCAACTACACATTCAATAGCCCAACTCCATTTAGGGTATCCCCAAAACCAACCTGCAAATAAACTTTGCAAACCCCGCGAAATGCTTGCACATCAAACTTTTATTTACCAGCTTCAAGAGCACAGTACAGTAAAGCCCCCAACTCAGCCGCCCCTTTCTTGGCCCAACCCTCGTTGCAATAATTTCATTTCGTTGTACAGTTTATTATATAATTTTTGTCCCTCTTTGACTTTTATCTTACGTTTATTATGCCCCATGGAATTTTGCCGATTTCCAGACGCTGTCCAACAACCCGCTGGAGGTCAATGTCTCCGCCCAACCACCCACTTGGTCCAGGCACTCGAGGACCAAGCAGGCACATCCACATCCCTAAGATACATCCTGCCCCCGGTGGCATCTTTAAGAGTTGTAATAACTTTGGCCCAACTTTGCCTTGGCTGTATGTACATTCGGATGGGGCTTTCGGTGTCTTTGGCTTTCAGCTGGGACTCCGTCCGGGGGCAAAGTGCTAAAATGCCTTGACGCATTCTTTTGCACTTCTTCATTTTGTTCGGAGGGAGACCTCCGACTCCTGTTTCTCCTTGCCAGCAGCTGTCCAAATGTCAGACTCACTCCCACATTGGCAAGACGAGAATCCTTGGAAGAAAACGTCGACTTGTAATAATCATAATCGTAAATTTGCAAAAAGCTGGCCGAGCCGAGCCGTGTGTCCTGGCCGCGTTGGGGTCCTTGGGGTCCGTTTAGCATTTTGCGCGAGGCTCTTACGGAGGAGCCCATTGCCAAAACGGGGCGTGTTCGTGGGCGTTGTGTTCGTAGGCGTCATCATCATTATTATGGCCCTGTTTTTATTTATATTTATTTTTTTTTTGTTTTTTCCAGTGGGTGTTCGTGTTCGCCTTGTGCGTGGTTAAGTTATTGGTGGTGGCGATGGGGAGGAGGAAGGTTTCCTTCTTCACTCTTCGCCTGTCCATCGTCTTGGCGAAAGGCATTTAAAAAGTTTTCTAAACTTCATTTTGAAGTTTTATTACCAGCGCAGAATAAAACGCTGAGCAATTTCTTTCCCTCGCACATTTCTATTTGCTCTCATTTTTCCCGGCTTGTTGTTGAAATTTGCTCTATTAAAATTCCAAGGCGCAGTTATGCCGGCACAACGAGTGAGTCCAGGACCTCGGTGCAGATGCCGCAAATGCCGCCATCGTTCCAGCATCCACGCCCAAATCCTGTGGGAGGCCTGCATCTGGTGGAGCCATCAGTTATGCAGGTTGCCCTGCTGCAAGTTTTCCTTCTCCTTCTCAAACCCCTTCTTTGTTCTTTGGCTCTTTTTCCACTGCTTATCCTTGCTGGCGGCTTAGCAGCTTTGTTGGACTCATCCAAGCAGCCTGAACAGCCACCAGCTGGAGCAAGCTGCAGCCAAGCGCCAGGACTCTCTCTCTCTGGGTAAGTCTTAGTTATGTGGAACTGGCATTTATCTTGCGATAATAGCAAGTTGTGCTCGGCGAAGGCAGTGGCAGGCGGAATTCTCAAGGATGTTCAAGGAGCTATCTCGAGGGGAATTATAAGAGATTCCAAGAATGAGATTAAATTAAATATACACATTTGTTTGGCAATGAACTTTTGTTCATTTACTTTAAATTATCTGGGGGTATTTAAGGTGAACTAATATTTGTATTAAGGGTATTAGTTAATATCATGATTCATGTTAGTCTAGAAAAAAGTCGCTTAAGAAAGAAAATCTTATAAAAGCCTTTTCTGGGATGACTTTTATAATGATGAAACCGTGAAAAGGCATCTGCAATATCTAGCAAAGATATAAAAGTTCTAGTTCAGTTACTAAACCCCTTTCTGGCACGCCTCTGACCAGCTTCAAGCATATGCTGCCTGTGAATTTAACATTTTGCTTGCGACAGACAAAGTATGCATTCAAACAAGTCACACGCAAAATGTGGGTGGGTGGATGCAGGGATCTGTGCCTTAGGAATCCTTGGCACCCGCTACTTATTTTCATCCTTGTGCAGTTTTCTCCCTAACGAAAATGTTTATCTGTGTAACTGTAAGCAGGATAAACGCACGCTTACACATGAAGATATACAAAGATACAAATACTGAGACAGGGACAGAGTCACAGATGCTGGGGCAGAAAACTTGAGCTACAACAAAAATAGATCAGTTTAAGTACAAATGGCCGCCAGTGCCACGCCTCCACCCCTTTCTTCTTCTGCTTCTTCCGCTTGCCCGTTTCTATTCTTCCTTCTTGAAATACTTTTGCGGTTTCTTTTACTTCCGTTCGCTCTTTCGCTCCTTTCTTTCACACGCGCCAGCGTCCATTGTTAAACTTTAATGCCAAATGGTGGTGGTGCGGCAATGGAACCTCCTGGTCCAAAGGGGCCGGGCACTCAGGGCGGGGGCGTGGCTGTACAAATTTCACGAAAATTGTCCTTGCCACGGCGCGCACGGGGAAAACTTTATTTTAGTTTCGTCCTCTTACTACTTTGCCCAGATGGAAAGCGTTATTTTATTGAATTCTTCTCTCCTCTTTTTTTCTTTGGTTTTTTTTTGGTGTGCAGGTTGCAAGTGCAACGGGGGAAAAAAAAAGATTGTAACAGGGAAAATTCTGTTGCCACAAAAGTTTTTCGTTTCATTTTCCGTTTTTTGCACATTTGCCTGCTCGATTTTCGTCCTCATCCCTTTGGCAGGCTGCTCATTTACTTTGTTGTCCTTGCTGGTCCTTTGGTTGCCATAGTTCCCTTCCCCCCTCTTACCACCAGTTAGTAGTAGTTTTTAAGTCTGGTTGTTGGTTTTACGTAGATTTGGTTTTGCAGTTTTTGTTGCATTAGCTGGTCGTTGAGGCGTAAAGTTCAATGGCGGGTTAAATGGACTTAATACCGGAACTTTTTAGAACTTTTCCACCCCACCTCTCGAAGGGCCAAACTTCTAGCGTTGATCGTCCTGGGCAACAAAGTGAAAGTTTTTCTCGTTTTTTTTTTCCCCCCCGTTGAACAGCTTAAAAAGAGATTGGCTTTCCTGCTCTTTCTCCTTTTTGGCGGCCAAAGGATTTAGCAGTTTGTCCAAGTTTAATGCGAGTGTGTTGGTGTGTTCGTTTGGCCAAGTTCGATGGAAATGTGGAAAAGGAATTTTCGACAGTAACAATAAGTGATGGCCGAATGTGTTGGCTGGAGCTCCTGCCGCCTGTCGCTTGCCTTCAAGGATAAACTTTTTAGGTGACAAAGGAAAGGAAGTTGGAAATTATTTGAAATGCTTTTCAAATGGCGAATGGGCGAAATTGAAATGGAATATGCACATTTAAGTCCAACTTATCTGAAATAGTTTTCCAAATGCAATTTAAGAGTATTTGTGGCTTCGAATCGAAAAACTTTAGTTGCTTACCAAGATGTTGTTTTTCCTAAACTTTTCTTTAAAAAAAATCCCTGAGATGCATTACCTCTTCAAATTTCAGGGCGCGTGTCAAAAATTTCGTTTCCATCACTTCAGAAACCCTTCAGACGAAACTTGGCCAGCTTTGGCGGCGCTGAGGGCACTAAGGAAAATTTGTAGCCAGTTATGCAAAGGAGGCCAGCAAACAAAACCGTCAAAAAAAGAAATCAGAAGGGGGCCAAAAGAATAGGGCAAAAAACGGAGTCCCGTGTCAGCTTTTTATGCCTTTCGGGCAAAAGGACATGCTGGCAATTTTCGTTACCCAAGAAATGGGGTTGGAAAATTCGAGGGGGTAGAGGGCAATCGAGGCGACAAGTTGTTAAGTAAGCAGCGACAACTCAAATAAAAGGCCAACGGAATGAGATCCCAGATAGTTTTGCTACTCTCAAGTCGGGGAGAGGTGTAAAAAGGCCATCTCAGAAAGCCCTTCTGCCCTTCTTCACGAGATTTTTCTTAAAGTTTCCGTTCTTAGGTAAACAAAAACTAAAAGTGAGAAAAGCAAGCGCCGCAGAGATTGAATAGATTGAAGAGAGATTGAGTCTCCGGGAATCTTCTCTATATATATATATAGTACACAATATTAAAATTCGCTTATGCCCCGGAACGGCAGGCAGACGTCTTATCTTCTGGCCGAGTCTTACCTGCAGTTGTTTTAGGCGGCTTTTGTTTGGTTTCC